AAAAAAAAAAATATATATATATATATATATATATATATAAATAACAATTTGAATGATACTGATTCTTAAACTTGTAAAAGGCCCATTTAGTTATTTTTGTTGTTGGTTAATATAATGTAGCATAAAAAGGCTGGCATAAATATCCTGCACATTTTGCTGTTAATGTGCATTTTTTAATTTGTTATATTTGCACACAAGCAAAGGCTTCATTGTGTGAAATGGCTTTCCAAGGGAAGTGAGTGCCGTGGTGATAACCCAGGAGAATGTGCTGAGCTGGACCGGACCGACTGCAGGCAGGAAAACAGAACTCTGCACAAGCAGGAATTCACTTTCTGTCAAATTACTTCGTTCTATAAACGCACTCGCTCCTGCCATCAGTATTTTTGCCTCTCTTGGGCCTTTTCATGACAGAAAACATCACACAAAGTAAAACACCCACAGGAAGCAGCCCATGCAGCTCTCCCCCCAAAAAAGCTGATGTGTCATGCCTTCCTTTCTGATTTTTCTGCAAAAGCTCAGGAAGGAAGCTGCACATCTCTTCTTCTTCCTCTTCTTATACTCACATTGTGTGGAAGACACATATGTGGAAGTAACTTAATGTAATTTGCAGCTGTACTGGTGGGGTGACATCTCCATGTTGGGACAGCCATGAGCTGTTGTGTGGTCAAAGTTATCACCTTGACAGGGATCCAACTTCTGCAGGTAGGGTGGGGTTACTTTGATTCACTCAAGTTCAGGATAAGAAAGATAAGACAGGCGCATTTTTGCATAGGTTTATGATTGTAGTGGAGATGATCTGTTTTATAAACGGCATGCACTTAGAATAACCGAGCAGTCACTGTGGAATGCAAATTTTTTGATCAGTTCTCTATCCCAGTCTTATCTTCCCACACATTTCACAATCTAGTTCGTGGCTACAGATATTTACTGGTTAGCAGGCTCAGCAAAAACACAGTAAGCATGACTGACATGAGAAGGCTTTTTGTTCCACTTTCCTCTTATCTCTATTGATTCAAGATGGGAAAAAGATGATAAAGCGTCGCCTCTTTGCATTCCGTAGCAGCATCAATGCTAGTTTCTTTTTTCTTTATTATTTTTGCAGAAATGAATCAAAGCCGCCTCCTCGGTTTGTCCACAATTTGTACAGCTAACTAATGTCACCATCACCCAGTGTTTCATAAGTTGTTAGATTTTCTGAAGTGAAAGGAGAACTTGGGCAAGACTGAAACTGAATTTGGCAACGGCGTTTCATTTAGAAGAAAAGCCGTGAGCATGGCTGATGAATGACACCTAAATGCAGCATTTCAGTGTGGACTAGTGAAAGACTCTTTAACTGCAAGGTAAATAGCACAACTAATAAATGCAACATATAAACAGAGAAAAGCAAGCCATTGGATGTGGATATTATTTTTCCTTCTATTAAGGCAAGGCTTATTTTAATGCTACTTTTGCAATGCGTTTTTAGAGCTGTTGCATTTAGTGACTTTATACAAAACTACTCAAAAAGTGTTACAGAAAATCATTCAATTGGAAAGCTGCAGTAGTTTTAGTGATGTCATTCAAAATTAAATATTTTATTCTAACAAACAGACTTTTGCAGTTTGCATAAACATGGCAAGTGTGTGTAAATAGAAAGTGAACCTGTGACCTCCTCCAAAATACTGCCTCTATTGTTGAAGCAGGTGCTGGTGGAGAAGAAAAAAATATAACGAAACACAAAAATCCCAAACTTGAACGCTGATAGATTCGATTTCTGTCTCGTTTTTGTCCTGACCAACTTTGTGACCGGACACTGATCACTTTCAGCAAGTCTACTTCACACATGCACAGGCATGCCATTGTCGTGGCCTTGGTGACTGAACCACCATTTCTGCTCATATAATCAGATCACCCTTAAGTGGATAACAAGTGTGTCTCCGGCATTTACAGTACAGAGAGGAGTCGAAGTGCAACCAAGACAATCCGCTGTCACACAAAGCAGACGCGGTGTGTAGCACTTCTGGCATCCCTCCTGCTATTCGTAGTAGAGAAAAATGTTGATTGGCTAACAACTAGGATGTTGTCTGGCTGGGAGAAGTCTGATAAGAGCTCTCAGTTACTACTGACAAGTTGAGTATTGTGATGAGCTTGTACTTCGTTACGTGGACGAGTGCTGAATAAGGCCAGACAAGTCCAGCTAACACGGGGAACTGAATATGTTTCACATTCTGCTAGCCAAAACATAAAGCTAAAAAATGCTTTATTAGTCAACGAGATATATTAAAATTCAAGAAAATAGATTTGAAAAATTACGTTTCAAAAGAGTGCAGTTTCTTTTATCTACTTTTCTTTAGCATTTTAGATAAAGCAAAGTGGGTTTGCCACTAAAAATAAAAAAAAATGATGCACCTATATGTAGATTTTAAAGGATTAAGTGCTTTAAATGCATCACGGTGAGTGTAGAAAGAGCTGAAATGATGATAATATTTTTATGTCAGGTTTTGTGAAGATGAGCTGTGAAGTCAAAAGAATTCACTGCTGTACCCAGGGGTTTGTGCAAGTTTCAGTAAAACTGAAGACGTTTTCAAAGATCCTGCGAAGGCTCATCATCATTCAAATTTAAGACCTACACACAAAAAATAAATAAAATAAATAAAACATAAAAATCAACCAATTCTTTTCCTCAGACAGAACCACCACACACAGAACAAATGAATGTTGACTGTGCCCCCCAAAAAAATGTTCAAAGAAGAAGCAATGAATAAATGAGTGTAGCAGGCAAGATATAACTGAACGTATTTTAAAAAAATCTGGACATATTTAAGAGTTTATAAGGCCTAAAACTGTGATAAATTATTTTAAGCCTTTGCAGAAACCATGAATACCAAAATGTTTAGTCTCATATAGTAAAATAAATAAATGAACCATAAGCAAACAACTGACTATTAAATGTTTAATACTAAATATTAAAGCTTTTTTAAATATACAGTAAAATTCCACCCAAATGGCTGAACAGCAACGACAATGAATGTATTTGAGAAAACTGATATTTTCATTGAAAATCATCCCAGTTGTGGAACAAAGACTTCAAAACTGTTTTATTGCACTTATTTTGTGCGGAACAACTAATGCCTAACCATCCACGTTTAAAACAGTGAATGAGTAAAAAAAGATTTAGTTAAATGACATTAGAGAAGTTATTTAAAACCCTCCCTGAGAAAACAAGGGTCAATTGTGCTGCCACAACCCCTGAAGAAGGCAGTGGAGGACTCTGGGAAATGGCCAGCGATTGGTCAGCCAGTCAGAAAAGGGCGGTCCAGATGAATTAGTGATAGACGCTAAAGGCAGATATCCTGTAGTGATCAAACCCTGAATGATCTAACAGTGTAGTGTTTGAAGTGATTATCATGCTACGCAACATAAAGGCTTACGCCCAGCTGTGGGGCTAATTAGTTCACTTGGGGGGCCCTTTATAAAACACTGGTAGGAACTGGAAGGGACACAGAGAAGTCAGCAGTTTAACAGGACAGCAGCAGCACATCTGGATCTTTAGTTAACCGCTGCTACACGAGAACAAACCGATCTGGAGATTACCTGCTTTTATAAGAATGCCACACTTAAGTGACTGCAGCTACTACAAAATGCGGGATGCAACTAGAGCTTCAAAAGTAAGACCACCAAAATTTGGAAAAACAATTCAGAAATGTGTCATATTGTCTTTTAACACTATTTGTAAAATGTTAAAGCTTTTATTATGGTTATATTATTTTGGAAAATGTTTTTATATGTGTTTTTTTTTTTTTTTTTTTAGATTTTGCAACCTTGGTTCAGACTTACCCTCTAAAAAGTTTTATATTGCAATGTTGTTTTACTTAAAAAACACTCACATTCTACATGTCATCAGGACACTCTAGATTTAGCCATAACTGTATAGGATTGCTGTGTCTAAATGAATTTTAATGAAGAATTAATATTTTTACGTTGGAGACTCCTCTGAATATACTCTTAGTCAACACTGTCTTACGTAGATCATAGAAAGGAATGCACAAGCGACCAGATTGTATTCTGATGTTCTATAAAATGATGTGTGGTACTTTTTCTTGTTTTCATACAGGTACAAAGCCACCTTGAGAACTCCAAGTTCCATCTCCACCAAAGCCAGAATCAGCCGGTAAAGCAGTACCTGACGCTGGGCTCCAAGCTGGCCTCCTCGGCCGGACCGGGTCACAGCGTGCCACATCCACACTCTGCTGGCCAGCCGCTGGCCACCGTGCCGATCTTGAGAAATGGGCACATGCCTCCCGTCAGTGATGGCAGCAACCCCAACAGCCCGGTCACTCTGCTCTCATTGGCCAACCACGACAGCGAGGTGAGCTGAAACAGAAGCAAAAGCTAAACATGACTATGTGGAAGTGAAATTGAGAGAGAAAGAGCTCAAAATGGGCCTGGAAAGGGTGAAATCGTAACAAAAACCTTTAGCCACATTGTGTGACACGCTCAAACAGTGGGTCATAACTTTTGAAGATTTCACAATGCTCTTGAAACATTTCCTGTCAATGGTTTAAATTTCTGTCAAATTATTTCCTTCTATAGTAATGCAAGAGATCTGCTTCACATCTAAATTCTTTCAAATGAAGTCTGGTAAATCACGGCAGGCACTTTGTTTTGATGACCAGCTAACACAGAGAACCAAGAACTACTTTTATTCCTGCACTGGCTTTGAACCTTTTGCACAGAGAGTAACTAATCATCTAAACAAAGTGCTGCCACCATTGATCTTTCCTTCCCTCTGATTTGCTCATCAATAACTTCAGACATGCAGTCTCTGATGAGGGAACCCTTTCAAAGAGTTTGGGAACAGATGTGTGTTTTTAGACCTACAAACCTGGCTATTCATTATTGGATTTATCTCTGCATTTGTTTATAGGTGTTAAATGTTCAGATCTCTACAGACGAGTATAGTTGATAAACATCAGGATGTACATTAGTACACTGAACATACAATTTTCTTTTAGTTTCCAATGGATGAAGTTATTGATGACCTAATTAGCCTTGAATCCAGCTTCAATGATGCAGGCTTGGATTGCATAGAGCCTAACATCATAATGCAAAACAATGTAAGTATGAATCACATTCAATTTTGCTGTCACTTCAAGCTACTAACCAAGTTTTCAACCATCAATAACCATCTATGCTTTTTGTATCAGTTTCTGAATAACCCTCTTTGTTTGTCAAGCTGTTCACAACAGTTCGGGTTAGGTTTATGTCACATTTGTTAACTAATGACTTCTCTCTCTCTGAAAGCTTAGCAGGGGCTTGAAAGTGAAGTCTCTCCACCCAAACACCCACTCCAGAAGCTAGACTGGCTTGGGAAAAAATAAAAGCGCTCCGATTTACTTTCAGGTCAGCTTAGGACAAGAGGCGAGTCAAAGTTCACTTGGGCTTAGCAAGATTTGTTAGGACACTAAAGAAGATTAGTTTTTTTTTTTTTGTAAAATAAATTACGTCTCACTAAAGTTGAACCTTATAAAGGCAATGAAAAGTCTAGAAGGAATTCAAAAACTTTAGCAATGAAAAGTTTGTTTCTTTGGCAGGAAAATTGGTAACATCTTTAGAAAGTAAAGCTTGTTTGATGGGAATATCACATTTTGATTTGGCCATTGATAACAAAAGTGATACATACAAAGACTCGTATACATAGATAAAGTTACAAGGAATGAGGGGGAGTTAAAGATAAGGGGATGATCAGAAGGTGGAGGGAAGTATAGGAATTGTCTATAGGTTTTTGAAGAAGACAGAAGCATAACAGATGACATGAGTAAGAAGTTTGGTTGGAAGGAGTTACTGAGATATCGGATTGGGCTAATGTGTACACTCCCCATGGGCTTAGTCAAAAACGATACCATGCTTAACTGGATCAATTCATCCAATTAGTCATACAGTACGATACATCACCTCGTTTTGCCTTGTTGACATATTTTGGGAACACTAACGGGAAGAAGATTGGAGTGATTACTGTAGGAGAAGGAGGGGAATTGTTGCAATCTTTCATTTTCATATTTATGTTTGTCCCCTCCACTTTTTCTAATGTTCCAGTACTGGTGAGAAAGATTCAAACCCACATAAACTATCTGACAAAGCAGCAGTTTTTTAATGTTTTGTTGACTTGACATGTAGCCTTATCCCATTCTTCATTGTCGCAGCTACATGTGACACACTGTATAAAAATCCGTTGTTCGTTCTTTGGAATCCATGGCAAATCCTATCGGGTTTTCCCATTAATACACAAATGTGAATTGGACACACATGTGTGCCAGCCTGCCACATCGTGACATGTCTCTGCTCAGTGAAAAGGCGTTAATTGTGCATGCTTTAGTAGACAAGAAGAGGCCAGTAGGAAAACAGTTTTGCCTCTGTTTGAGCCTTTTCAACTAATGTGATGCTGTTTTTAACACAGAGCACACCACTGTTCAATGAGGGGGCTTTGAAAATGGTGCCCTTATTGAATTAGGGAACAACATCTGGTGAAATTGCCCCTCAAGTGCAACAAGCCTGGGTTGGAGGTCACCAGTTTGGATTATCCAACAAGGCTACATTCTTGAATTATTTTTGCTCTTTGTCGTTCAAGGCAAACAACTAATCTTAACACTGAGGGTCAAAGCACAGGGTTTATCCTGTCCTGCTGTGATAAACGAGGGGCTCCTTCCCCATGCTGGGTAGTCCAGATTCAAAGGCCTCGAGGCTGACAAGCTTCTCCGATAATTCCATTTGCTCTTGTTGTATTAGTCTTTGTATTAGATAAAGCCACGCCACAGCAAAAAACAACTATTTATCTAGTGGTTTTTAATGAGGCGTAAAAGGGGTGTATGTGAAAGGTACTTTCCTTTTGAATGACCTTTTTAATTCCTCTCCCCCATCTCCATAGGTCTCCCTCAGCAGCAGCATGCTGGACGTCTATGGGGGTGAACAAGGTATGAACCCCCCTAATGATGGAATCAATCCCACATCTAACCCCACAAAGCTCACTGTTAAAAGGGAATACACAGGTATGAACTCATACCATGGGGTTGAGCAAACAACTAATCAGTTGTACAGTTTTAAAACTGCTCACATTTTTCTACAAGAGATGGAACAAAAACAAGAAAAAAGGGTGTTTGTGATGTGTTGAGTCTTTGGTAGAAGGACAGAAAGTACCTGTGTTAGCTAAAAATGGTAACTTGCTGGCCAAACGTCCACTTAAACGTGTCAGGCTTATTTTGGTCTGGCACTTGCCATTGTCTTCTTGTCAGAGTTTGTGAATTAGCTGAAAGGCATTGGGTTTTTATTACAGTGCTACAGAGGGACCAAATTACACAAAGTGCCCTTTAGATATATCTTGAAAAATCCCAAGTAAAGCAGAAAGCCTAAAAAACTGATTTAGGAAATGGAAAAGATGCCTTAAGAATATTTACTCTCAATGGGCAAATTAGTAAATTATGATATTTTCATTTGAATGTGGACAGAGAGGACAATGAGTTGTTACAGACTTTAAATTTGTCCTGATTTAATCAACAGAGACAAATTGGGAAATCCAATCTCAGGTCCCTAATTGTGTAATTTGGAAGAATGTGAATACAAATATGGATGCAGGGGCATTTTTTTTGTCCCTCTCCAGGACACATTAGGGAATTAGCTAACCATCTTAATTGCAGCACAAGAAGTCTAAATGTAGTCCAATTTTTGTCCCCTTTACAATGAGCTTCAGACTTGTTAGTGGGGATAAATGGGGCACAGTGTGTCAGTGTGTGAAGGTCAAACTTGTGTCTTCAGTGTAGGCTCATGCATACCCCCGTTGCACTATGACCCCTTCCTCAAAACAACCGATTGTGTGTCTACTGACTGGACTTTCTGTGGAGTTCTGATTGTTGTCTTACAGCTTCTAAATCAGTGTGCGTTGCTAATCCATTTGTTCCCCTCTGTGATTTATTTTGTCGACAGAGCACGACACCAGGGTGATGGCCAAAGAGAGGCAGAAAAAAGACAATCACAATTTAAGTAGGTGTCCCTCAGTGGCTTCTTAACTATTATTGGAGAAAAAGTTGTAGTTATCAATAAGCCCATCAAAACAACTCTAATCAACATTTTTTTCTTTGGTCTGTTTAGTTGAAAGGCGGCGGCGATACAACATTAACTACAGGATTAAGGAACTGGGGACGCTTATACCAAAGTCAAACGATCCGTAAGTTCTCGAATATTGACATAAATGATACCCTCTCTTTGGTTTACCTCAACTGCAAAAGCTTGTGTGGTGACGAAAGCATATAAAATTCAGCAAGGAGACACTCTAAATGTTGCTCATTGAATTTAAATGAGTACTCAAGCACATTGCAGCCATATTTCAAGGGTGCACTTAAGCTTCTATTGTAGTCTGCACTCCTTGAGACGTGCGTCGCCTCACCGGGTCTCAGCAGTTCAACTTAAAGCATGAACGACGAGGAAAAGGGGTCACATGTAAAGAAGTGGGCCACACCATTGAAATCAAAGTTGAAAACTCCATTTGAGCATACAGATAGAGCATGGAACACCAGCCATCTAGGCACAGTTGAACTTTGCTTCAAATATAAATGGAAGGTTAGAATTGTCACTGTGCCATTAACAAAGGATAAAGGAGATTATTAACGCTGATCAGACCAATGTCTCATGTGTGGAAAAGGACAATTTTACTGAGGTCCCTTGTCCTTTTTAAAAAAGCAATAATACCTGCAAAAGAATGACTTGCACTCCAGCACCTTAAGTCCAATTTCACATCTTTCTCTCTGCCTTCCTACTTAGCTCATTTTCCTTCACCTATTTTTACTTGAGGATTAATTTTACCGAACAAGGATGTACAAGAATGGACTTTCCACATAGCTTCTTAACTATTCTATTAAAATCCCCATTCTGTGGCCTCATGTAATGTCCAAGGATGAATAATTACCCCATGTAAGTCTTCGTTTCTTATTCAAATCATAAAAGGAGGGAGAAAAAAACCCTCTGTTAAAACTTTTCCCCCCCTTTTTATTGCAAAGAATATTCTGCCGACATCAGGGGTTCTGCGTAAAAGGTTATTCCTGACATTTTCTTCTCTCTGTAGTGACATGCGGTGGAACAAAGGCACCATTCTGAAGGCCTCAGTGGAGTACATCAGGTGGCTGCAGAAGGAGCAACAACACGCTCGGGAGCTGGAAAGCCGTCAGAAGAAGCTGGAGCAAGCTAACAGGAGGCTTCTGCTAAGGATCCAGGTAGTTTAACACTCTGTGTTTAAGCACATATTTGCAGTAAATGCATTAATGGAATACATAATTGAAGCAATAAATCTGATCATTTAGCAAATAGAAAGACAAAAAAAAAAAAAACCCAGCCAGTCCACTAATTTTGAACATTCAGCTGTTTAGTTAGTTGAGACAACCACCTCAGCACCATTCATATGGTCCAAATATTGGCTCAGACAAAGCACAAATCCCATTTTCTGGTGTTACCCCTATTCCTTGGTTCTCAATTTAATGTAGCAGTTGCAATATTCTACTGCAACACTGGACCTCCTTTCAAGAAGTCAATACACCGTTATTTGTTGATGTTTTATTTAATTTGAACAAACACTACATCAATATATCCATAGATGGCTTGTAAAATGGGTTATCAAGTATAAATTAAGTTCTGCATGTACATAGCATTATACTTTTCCTTAGAACATTAACAACACACAATATATTGGAACACACTAAACTAGACATTACACAGTTCATTAAAACGTTACAATATTTTAATCAATGTTATGCTTGTTAAGGAGTAACTGACAATATCAAACATACTTTGGATTAAATCTAACTAAAGATCACAATGTTTTTGTTGGTGCCAGTACACTTTTAAATGAGTTGCTACTTCGCGGACTCGCTCTATCGCGATTTTTCAACATAAGATTGGACATGACACACAATTGGCTGATTGATGGATAAGCTGCACGATCTGCATGGAATTTTTATTTAAAATGAATCATTTAAAATTATTTAGCATCTGCTGTACATGTGTGCAGTCCAGAGCTGCAGAAAAAGATTCCTCCTGCAGCTCTGTGCAGCCCACACTGCAGGAAATACTTCCTGCTGCAGCTGAACAGCTGATCAGCTGTTCACCGTGCAATGCTGAGAAGTGGGCGTGGCCAAGCAGGTGGCAAAGAGCAGAGGAGGCAGGGAGCTGAAATCATGATATTCTGTGCTCTTTTAGAGCATTTAGAGTTCAGATTTTTTTTAAATAATATTGCATGAGTGTGGGAAGGGTTTAAAACATTCTCTCTCTCTTTCTCTCTACTACTTACTACTTGTACTAATATTCCTACTTTGCGGTTTTTCACTTATAAGATAGAACTTTATCGCGGGTCTTCAAGGGGACGGATCCCCCGAGATAAACGAGGGACTACTGTATTAGTAACATTTGTGAGGGTTTTATTTGTTTCTTTTGCAAGGGAAACTCATGCATCAGTCTAAAGTGTGCTCCTGAAACTGGCTTGTTTTGCACCTTCATCTTTGCATCATTAAATTGTTTGGGATACCCTGCCTCTAAAATGAACATGCAAAACGTAAGGTCATTTGGCCCAAAATAGGGCCCCTAGACACCCCCCCCCCCCACCCCACACACACACTCATCTGTTCCCACAGGCGGCCAACATGGCAGCCCTCTGCTCCACACAGATGGGCTGTGGTAGCTTGGTGGTCGTTGGTTGCATCATGAAAAACATCTGGTGTAAAAACAAGTTGTTCACTGTGACAACCCATGAAGAAGGGAGCAACCGAAAGAATAAAAGATTACCTTAAGATGTAAAAAAAAAAAAAAACGTCAGTCATGACCACTTGTGAGTAAAAAAACAAAACAATGTTAATAAAGACCAAACATATCTTTGTGATGACACTCATTGATAATGAGCTCATATGATATGTCAAAAACGGGTGTAAGACATGACTGTCTCAACTTCTAGATTTCCCTGCTCAACATCGGTATGTGTAGGAGGTGTGAAAAAGGTGTGGCAGTGAATTTCTTGGTGGCACTCCCTGATATCGGTCAGCATACGTGACCAGATCAGATAAAAGTTTAACTCCCATTTGATTTGATTCATTTTCCAGGAACTTGAGATCCAGGCCCGAGCACATGGACTGCCAAATATGGCCAACACTCTGGGGACAGTGGAACTTTCCTCTCACCTCCTCAAACAACAACAGCAGCAGCAACAATCTCCACCCCAGGTGCAGCAACCACAGCAGCTCCCTCTCTATCAGGACGACCCCAACAGTGACTACCTGCAGAGGATAGCTGTGTTGACTGGAGTGCCGTCCATTGTCACTGCAAGTGGTCCCCAGGATCACACCCAAGGGGCAGATGCCGGAACCACATTCTCTGACCCGCTCTCCCATTTCACAGACTTCTTCACCTCCACGCTCAAGGAAGAGAACCAGCTGAACGAGATCCTGATGGATGACCCGCTCTCACCATTTGGCACCGACCCGCTCCTCTCAGCCAGTTCCCCGGGAGCCGTATCCAAGGACAGCAGCCGCAGGAACAGTTTCAGCTCGGCTGAGGGCGATGACCTATAAGGGTCTGCCTGCTCATAGGAAACCTTAAGACTGCACAGCTTTGATCACTCTAGCTGGTGAAGGGTGCACACAGAACCTTGAAAGAACTGATGAACCGGGGATAGTTGTGACCAATACCAGCCTTACAAATAATTTAAAAGACAGCTCACCAACTCTGCAGGACTCCTGAGAGTGCCTTTTGCGACTAATCTGCTCGACTGTTGCAGAAGTTGATCTTTTTATTGGAACCAGACCCATCCCATGAACTTTTATTAAAGACAATCTGCTTTCTCGTGGAGCAGACTTGTAAAAAAGGGAGACGTTTATCAATATGTAACGATGATGCCTGCTGTCTTTTAAGACTACACCATGGTGGCTTTACACTGTAACATATGCAAAATAATGACTGAACACTGTACTTTTTTACATGTATGCATTGTATGAGGAGCCTTGTTATAACTTTCAAACATGTACCTGATGTACTCACCTCAGTGCTTAACATGTCTTTAACTTTGTGCCTTTCCAAACATTTTTTATTAAGACTGGTTGTATTTATGTTTTAATCCATGTATTCATGAAAAAATACATTATGTAAACAATCAAATCCACTATCAGCTATTATAATCTCATTTTATTATTAATAGAAATGGGGAAACTATAAAAAACTACCTACCTACCATTCCTTAAAGGAATGCAAATTGCATTTTAATGAAGATTTGTTTTGGTCAAGAACTGAAACGACATTAAGCACAACCTCATGCTATACCGATGTCACACTCAAAAATGTATTTTGAATGATCAGCTACTATTACAGCAAATTTTAGCTCAATATTTGTAAAGTTGACAGAGATATAGTAATTTTTAGGTTACCGTACGTTCCGTCATACGCGTCGCACCACCGTACAAGTCGTATCAGTCCAAATATGTCTAATAAAGTGGGAAAAAGCATAAATAAGTTGCTTTGCCGTATAAGTCACATCTATTATGTGTCACCGCAGATGTGTCGCATTTGTTATGCGTCACCGCTGACCACCTGGAAACATACGACTGTGCTGTGCCAAAAATCAATTGGCTGCCAAGGCCGCGAGAGCCTGCATGGGAGGACTTTACAAGAATTTAACAAGATTAAAACCTAAAAACAAATATGTTTGTTCGACATTATAGCAAAGGAGTGTCTCGGTTGACCTTTTCCTTAATAAATGCACTTTAATGATCAAATCAGCTGCATTTCGCTGCATAGGAGTTACGGAGCAAGACGAAAGTGGCGACTATGGCAAGCCAAGTGTCTCATTAATAGCTACTTTTACCTACTAATGAGACATTTGGCTTGCCATATTACTTGAGGGCCCTCTAGTGGCCGAAAATAGTAGTGTTCAATATTTTTCATGTCAGAATGAAGGAAATCATCAGATCTCAGCCAAAAATTGGGTTATAAATATGGGGAAAAAACATAAATATGTCGCTTCTGTGTAAAAGGCGCAGGACGTGCAAATTTATGCACAAATGTGCCACTTATACGGCGAAAAATACAATACTTAAGTTCAGTTGGCTGTGGCAGCCATCTTGAATCCGATTGAGTTCAAAAGTTAATCAGCTTCCAACCCGTTCTTCCAATGATTTTGTCCTGCAGTTTCATTAAGATTCATTCAGTGAATTATGAAATACTTCGATACCAAACTGACAAAAGCAAAAACATTATCACTCCACCTTTTTCACATTTTATTTTGTTTGCGTTGGGTGATAATAATAAATGCTCGTAGGATAAAACCCAAGAAGTTTTATGGTGGAAGGTGAAGGGTTGGCTTAGAAGGTGGCTGATTGGAAATGAGTGGCAGAAAGGAAGGAAAAGAGAGAAGGGAAATTGGATAATAAAGACAAGTAGAGGAGGAGTGATAAATGTGATGAGTCCACTGTGAGTTGATGAGCCCTTGAGGATGAATAATGGCAACAGATAAGGAGTTGCTATGAGTGCTATTAGCCGCCAGCTAAGAAAGTTTCCTTTGAGGAAGGAATGATAAGATGTGCTCTTCTCTTCAGAAACACTGCGGCCACAAACTATTTGTCACAGCTGATAAAGTTATTTCAAGGGTTGTTTGTGACAAAACTTGAATTGTACAGCTGTGTCTTGATACATCAAGATCCTTTTTTATTAATATATCTTGAAACTATTGAAAAACGCAACAGAAAGTGTTAGTCTAAGAAACAACATTCCAATTCTTCACGAACTGGCTTTTCATCAAAACCTCTCTACACTGATGTTTCAGAGAATTAACAGCGTTGTTGTGGGAATATAAAATATTCCAGTCGCAAATAGACCTGAGCGGATAAATAATTAAGAGTCCATTTAGAAAGATGTCGGTAATTTTCTGGATAATTGGCCAAAGCAGTTTGGAAGGATAACGCTGATTTTCATTACATTTATCAAGCAAACAATCTAAGTTAGATGTATAGAATATTTCAAAATGTTGACTATAAATATTGATTCTTTTTTTGCACACTTTATCCCTCAATAGCCTTTCTTATTGTGGTGCTTAACAGGATAAAACACACAATTCAATTATATGCGTGTTTATAATGATAAAGCTCAACAACAGAGAAGAAATCTAAATATAAATGCTGAAAACATAATTTTAATTTAAAGACGTAGGATTCCTTGAAACAATGCACATCGCCTAGCTTTCATGTAAGAGTTTAAAATGAAAATCACATTCTGATAAAAAAGGGACATAATTGTTGTAGATTATCTCTTAATCAGTTAATGCAAGGAGTATCAGATTGGGATGTCTATTGGCTACTACAAAACCAAATTTTAGCTCAACATTTGTAAAACTCACTGAGTTACAGCCCTTTTTAGAGACATTTCAGGTCAAGATCATTTGGCTCTGCCAGCCATCTTGAATCAATCAGAGGACTCCGAACATTTATCACTTTTAGATGTTCATCCGAGAGTTTCCCAAAACAAAATGTGCAACAACAAAAAAAAACAAACAAACAGTAAACCATAAACCCATTTTTTTTTTTGTAATCAAAATCCATCACAAGGAACATTAAATTCACAGATTTGTACATTTCTAAGGAAACAGAGAAATGAGGCAACGGTGATTAGAGCAACTGATTTTTATGTCTGTTATGGGAAAACAGATCATTTGTAATTTAGAAACATTTTTAAACACACTTGCTTTTAGAAGAACAAAATAAAATTAAAGCTGCCCACATTTTTGGCCAAAGCAAATAACTATGACTGTAGCAAACCAAATAAATATACAAAACAAAAAACAAAAGCTGCTGTACTATATTTGCAACAGCAGGTGGCAGTAATGAGCTGCGATTTAATACAACAGTTGCAGTAAAAACTAATCTAAAGCAGAACCACGACAAAAAAAAAAAACCAACTCTAATTTTAAGATAGCTCGTAAAATAATATGCCTTTCAGTAAATCACCATGCTCGTGTACAGGACCTGCACATATTGGCAGTGTACCTTGGCAGTATTTTATGAGCTAAAGTTCATGGCACTATACCTCCCAGTATAAACTGACAAATCTAAAGAAGGCAAGTGATGTCGTGAACCTCACAGCAGAGTCGTTCTGTCACCAAAACAACGTTGTCAGACCTCCTGCCACCCACCAACACTGACACCACCACTGAGCAGGAGAAGCTGTCACCTGTGCAGATGCCACGGCTGCCAGCGTGCTACAATGCACTCACCTGTCGAGCCTGCCATTGGCAACTCTTAATCACCTCCCGCTGAGGGGACTCACACACACACACACACACGTACTCAGTGCCCTGCACATTCACGAACACAAACAAGCCTAATCAAATGTGCTTGTGTGCAAACACAAATGTGCACACGCAAGCAGAAACTGAAACACACACATGCATGCACAGGTTTGTGTCTCATTGCACTCTGTTGCCACATATACGAGGCAGAGCGTTGTGGTGGTGGGGGTGGGGGGTGGGGGGTGGGGGGGGGGAATAACCACCTAAAAGCCCTTATCAGGATTTGGACTGTGACAAGACTTGTGCACAAAATAGGTGAAATTTGAGTGGGAATAACAATATGACAGCTGGCAGAGAGGCACCAAACATCAAGTGTCATATCTATTTTCAGCTGTGACTCAGAGCTGTGTGACAAACAACACGACGCTGCTTCTCAATCAGTCAGCCCGTCTACTGGAAATGTGGCAAACTAGGGCCCCGAGATGAGCTTTCCCTTCAGGAAAACTAAGAAACGATCTTACGTTATGGTCAAAATTAAAGGCGGAGTTATAAACTTCCCTAAAGTCTGAGCATTGCATTTAAAGCTCAGGAACTTATCATGTTTTCTTTCCCGGTGAGCCGCTGTAATCTGTTCCACGATTCTGACCTCAGCCTCGCTTTATATTAAGGACCACACCCAGACCAGGCTCTCAAAATACTCCCACGTCACTCACCCAGCAAAGCATTAACAATGGCGCGTGAAAGAAACACACACAAAAAAAAAAAAATAGAAAAGATGCTATAAAATTAATGCTATTTCCAGAGGTTTTTTTTTTTTTTTTTTTTTATGAATCGAGCCAGATGCCAAAAGCATAACTTCAAACAAATTGACTTCCAATTATTGGTGCCGCACACCACTTCCAGATGTGCAACAGATGGAAGCTGGAGGCGACCGAAAGGTGTCTTTAGTCCCGAGCTTCGTGTTTTTCTGCAGTAAAACAGCCATACAGTTGTATGTGTTTTAAATCAGACCGGGCTGTGGGCTGGAGGTGAAGGGAAGGACAAGAGGATGGCGAAAGGGGGAAAAAAAAAAAACAACAAAGAAGGAAAGCACATCATCAGGAAAATGTAAATCTGTCCAGCACAGAAAGTGGAGAGCCATATGTAGCTTAAATACAGCTTGATTATTATGGAAATGTAGATGAGATCCTAGGACTGAAAGCTGGAGATGTTTTAAGGGGTGGGGGGTGGGGTTCGAAAATGTAAATGTAAATGTGATCTCTGCTGTATCTTCCAGTGTTGGGATTAAACGGTAAAAAG